TGGCACTGCATCGAATTCATAGATAAATCTGAGAAATGACATCTTTAGAATAAAAATGTTTCAACCCGCTCACAGCATATACCCCTTTTCGAACGTGTTTTGATATCTTTTGATATTTAAACATATTCCATAGGTATCTGTTCCAATCATCAGTTGCTGTATCATAAATAATTCCAAAACGTACTGGCTTGAGACAACAACATGTATTTTGCTCACAAATCTGCAACTAGAGGAGGCTTTGTCAGGGACAGTTTGGTCAAGTGGAGCACATTATGGGCAGGTGCTAGAATCACCTGAAGAATCCCAAGCCACATGGACAGGGAAGATCTTGGTGGTAATGGTCATGCTCTGTTCAATAACTCTGCCTAAGGTCCCAGTCTGCAGTCAGCATCAACCACTAGAATACACTTGTATTTCTAATAGGGCATTTTTGCCTTCTCTCTTTTTTCTTCATTAATCTCTCTAAACACTGAAATTATATATCGATAGCTATGTGGATAAAAAATTATTATCCTCTGTGTCCATGCTGCACACTGTAACTGAAGGAAAGTTACATGGCTCAAAATAGCCTGGAGTTAAAACTCCCCTGGGGATCCTCCCCACCACTCTACGAAAAACAAAGAACTCTCTCACCCAAAGAAAAAAAATGGACATTAAGGTTGATTACGCCCAGCTCCCAGCCGGTCCCAGCCTCTGGCCGATCTCCAGAATTTCTTGCCCCAGCCATTTATGAGATAACTACTCTGAACAACCTTGGAGAAGAACAGGCCCCCTTAGGACAGCAGATTTCCACACATATGCCTCTATATACTCACGCTTTCCTTGGGGTAGTGCAGCCGCTCACTCACCTGACTGCTGCCCCTTCTCGCCTCTTTAAAGGTGATCTGTTCCTGTAAAGTGCTGGTCTTGTTCTTTTTCGAACCTCGCCTTCTCTAACTCCTCTACCCTACAGTAACAGCCATCAGAAACATGCAGATGCTAAAATGTAAATTAATTAAAATTAATTAAAAACTGAGTTCTTCAGTTCCCCAGCCACTGAGCTACATTGCAAGTGCTCGACAGCCACATGCACTTTGTTCCTACTTCACTGAACAGGGCAGAGAATATTTCCATCATCTCAGAAAGCTCTGTTGAAGGCACTACACCCTTACTAGTTTTTTATTCATAAAAAACTAAAGTTGTGCTAAAATTTATGACAGTGAATTTTCCTTGTAGTTCTATCAATTTTTATTTTACATATTTTGAGGCTATGTAATTAGATGCACACAGATTAGAAACATTCTATCAGGATGGTAAATTAAGTCTTTTACCATAATAAAAGCAGTAGTAGCCCTTTATCTCTAGCAATATTAATACAGCTAAGCCAATTTTCCTTTTTAAAAAATACTGTTTATTTTTTTACTTTATTTTTGGCTGTGTTGGGTCTTTGTTGCTGTGCATGGGAATTCTCTAGCTGCAGCAAGTGGGGGCTATCCCTCGTCGCAGTGCACAGGCTTCTCACTGTGGGGGCTTCTCTTCTTGTGGAGCACTGGCTCCAGGAGCTGCAGCACAAGGACTCAATAGCTGTGGCACATGAGCTTAGCTGCTCCAAGGCATCTGGAACCTGCCGGCACTGGGGCTGAACCCGTGTCCCCTACACTGGCAGGTGGATTTTTAACTACAGAACCACTACAGAAGTCCCCAATTTTCCCATGATTAGTATTAGCCTGGTACATGTTTTCATATCCTTTTATAGTCAACTATTTTTATAGCTTTATCTTTTAGTCATCTCTCTTATAAACCATTTGCTAAACCATCCTATCAATCTCTGCCTCTTAACTAAAACATCTAGTCCATTTACACTTATTGTAATTGTTGGTCTATTTTTATTTATTTTTACCTTATTTGTGCTATTTATCCCATCCTGTCTCTTGCCTTCTTTTAGATGGATTTTTTCTTATTCTATTATTCCCCCTTTTAAATTTTAAGTTATATAGCCAATGTCTAGTCTTTTAGCAACCATCCTAGAAACTGCTTACAAAGACTTTAAACATCTGAATTTTGATCATCTCTTCCTAATGTTTATATCAATGCTGCCATGTATTTTAGAAGACCAGTGCTGTAACCCCTGAGCTATGGAGCCAACTTCTGCCATGCATTTTAATTCTATCTTTGTTTTTAATACACAAGAGAGTATATCTCTTTTATTCAGACAATAGTTGTTTAGATTCACCCATCTTAATGGACCATCATATTTTCTTACATTATCACTTTCCACTTAGGATAATTTTCCTTGTACCTGGAAATTCTTTAGAATTTCCTTTAATGAGTATACTAGTAACAAATTGTCAGTTCTGTCTGAAAATATTTCACCATTTTTTAAAAAGATACTTTCAAGAAGTATAAATATGGTACAACATAGTTATTTTCTTTTAGCCTTTCCACGATGCCAATCTATTGCTGGCTGGCTTCCAGCATTGCTGAGATGAACCTCATCAGTCTTAACAATGGTTCATTTGAAGGTAATCATTTTAAAGAATTATCTATGCATTGTATTCTGTACCTTCACCATTGTGTGTCTAGGTAGAGATTTCTTTATGTTTATCCTGATTGGGATCTACTGGGCTTCTAAGTATTTGTATTTGCATCAGTCCTATGATATCCTCAGCCATTAACCACTCATCAAACATGGCCTCCAGGGCAGACTGTGTGTGTTTCCTACTGGAATTCCAATATGTTTTTCTTCTGAAATTGCAACCTCTGAAATCTCTGAATGGCTAATTCTTTGCCCATTCATTTTACTGGCTTTTCTCAGAGTTTTTCATTACTTTTTGCATAACTTTTTATTAGGAATTCATTTTTTCAGAATTATTTGCAGTCTGAGTTAAGTGTTGAATACCTCAGAGATTTGGGTTCATTTCTGACAGACAGCTGGAGGCTCTGCTTTAAATTCTTGGCTTAAGGTTTCCCAGACACCAAGGTCATATGCATTCAGGCAACAAGCCCCCTGGAGAGTCAACATGAATCCTCAAGTGGCACCTGGCGCCCATCCTCAGCACCAAGGTTTGTCATGGCTTTCTCTGCAGTCACGCCCAAGAGGCAAGAGCTTACTTCCAGTTCACCCTGAGGGGTGCCCCTTGAAGTTTCACGTTATGAGACTGGAATTGAAGGCATCTGAGACTTCCCATCTTTGGCTCTGAGTTTTGTCTATTTTCCAATGCCCCTTGAGGTTACAAACACTACCAATGAATGTTCAGCAAATGTCCGCAAAGTTGGCTTCAGAAATCCTTCTTATCTCTTAAGAAGTCACTCTTTCACTTAGGCTTTGGGCTCTTTCATATTTTTACTAACTACATTTCAAATATATTTGTTCCCCCGACCCCTCAGAATTTTTGGTAGTTTTCATCAGGGCACCCTTTGACCATACTGTCAAACTAAGAGTTACAGAATCCTTTATCTGAAGACGAGAAGAAACATGCTCGAGGACAATTTAAATATGTTCTGCATTGATAGGTCCATAAATTAAAGCATATTTGGGGGTTTTGGAGGACAAGACTTCCTTTTAAAAAGGTCTGTTGAAGACATGTAGGAAACTGCACTGAACAGTTAGGAAGAAGTATTCTGAAGTTAGTAATGTGTCCTCCAGCCCAACTTTAGTATTATAATGTGGTTTTGAGGAAAAGGCAAGTCTTTGACTAGATCACCTTAGCTTAAAGGAATCAAATGAGGTAAATATAGTGATATCATTAACATTTGTGTCTTGTCATAATTCATTGAAAACAAACACGTATTAAGTCTCCCAATCCTTAGTTCTTACTGACTTCCAATAAGAATCAAATACAACGCACCCAGCTCATGGTCAAATTTTCACAACAGGATCTCCTTAGCCCTCTCACATGATTCTGAAAGTGTCTCTAGATCAAGAAATGCTGCCCTAACGACCAACTGAACTCCACCTGCCCTTTCTAGAGCAAATCCTTATGTCATCAAAGTAACCGACATTTCGTAAAAAGAGAATGTCAGAGCTGCCAAGAACCTTGTGTGATGTAAACTCAGTCGTTTCAGTCATGTCCTAGTCTTTGCGACCCTATAGACTACAGCCAGCCAGTATGCTCTGTCCATGGGATTCTCCAGGCAGGAACAATGGAGTAGGTTGCCAAGGCCTCCTCCAAGGGATCTTCCTGACCCAGAGATCAAACCTGGGTCTCCTGCATTGCAGGCGGATTCCTCACCGCTGAGCCACCAGATCATCTAGTAAATAGTAACAACACTCAATTTACAACTAAGGAAACAGAGGCTTAAAGTGAACACAACTGCCTAAACTCACTAGACTAGATAGCTGAGAGCAAAGTTACTGGCTAAAACCCAGTTTCCCGACTCCGTGCCCAAGCTCCACGTCTTGCCATTCCCTGAATGGGGACATGTGGGACAGGAGACGGAAACAGATCGACAGCTTCCCAGACAAAAAGCAGCAACTTACACCGTGAGGGTAACACCTGCCCCCCAGGGAGAGAAAGCCCAGCCTTAACTTCAACCAGCGCGGCTGCAACTCCTGGCAGAGTCTGCAGCAGGAGACAGTACGGCAGAAGGAACGAGGGCAACCCCATCAGGCCGACAACGAGCTGGTCACAGAAAAGCAGAGTCCTGGGGTCCCGGAACACGGGGTAAGTTGTCTGGCAATGACGGGGACCCAGGGTTTCCCATTCGCGCCTCCTCACCAGCCTGGAAACGGACTCTCAGGGCGCGACGAAAACAAGTCGGGACGGTAGCAAATCCAAGAACAAGAAACAAGCCTCGGAGAAGTTTCTCGGCGAAGACGCCGGGGCAAAGGCCGACGCGGAGGGAACCGTCCGGGAGAGGGCAGGGCGCTGGGGTCGTCGGGGGGAGATCAGCGTGGACCCGCGACAGCCGCGGACCACCGACGCCCAGCCCCACCGGGGCCGCACCTCGAAGCCCAGCTCCCAGCCGGGGGCTCCGCTACCCCCAACACGCCCCCGGGCCCGCACAAGGAGGTCTCTTACCCGAGCAGGTGCCAGCTCCGCCATGGCTGCCACCCGGGGCCCGTCTGATACGCCTCGGGCTGCGTGCGGGGTTTCCTGGGGCACCCGCCAGCACCTCCTGGCAGCCGCCCCCAGCGCCGTGTTGATGCAAGGTGCATTGTGGGAGTCCGGCCCTCCCGGGCCAAGACGGGCGCCACCCGCCGGTCCTCGCTGCGCGGGGTTTCCCCTAGCGCCCCCGTGCGGCAGGAGGGTGAACGGCACCTCGGCATTCAGCCGGAGAGGGACGCAGGACTGGGTCTTTCCAAGTCAAGGGCCGGTTGCGAATTTAAGACGAGACTCGTATAACCACAGCTTCATTAATGAACACCAAACAAGCAATATTGCCTAAGTTTTTATCGTGATACGTTTACCACTCCTTATAAAACACTTAATTCCATTCAAATTCATCTCTCAGTGATTTGGAGGCCTTCCCTGGTCGCTCAGACGGTCAAGAATCTGCCTGCAATGCAGAGACCTAAGTTCGACCCCTGGGTGCCGAAGATCCCCTGGAAAAGGGAACAGCAACCCACTCCAGTATTCCTGCCTGGAGAATTCCATGGACAGAGGAGCCTGTTGGGCTACAGTCCATGGGGTCGCAAAGAGTCAGACACGACTGAGCGACTAACACAACACATACACCTCTGCTTCTCCAGCACTCTGGTAGGTGCTTTGACAGATTAAAAAAAAAACGTATAAAACTCATGGGGGAGAATGAAAGAAGTGAAAGTCGCTCAGTCGTGTCAGACTCTTTGTGACCCCATGGACTATACAGTCCAAGGAATTCTCCAGGCCAGAATACTGGAGTGGGTAGCCTTTCCTTTCTCCAGGGGATCTTTCCAACCCAGGGATCAAACCCAGGTCTGCACACTGCTGGCGAATTCTTTATCAGCTGAGCCACAAGGGAAGCCCAGGACAGAAGAATAGATACATCTGTAAGTATGGCTGAGTCTCTCTACTGTCCACCTGAAACTCTCACAGTATTATTATTGGCTATACTCCAATATAAAACAAAAAGTTTTTTTAAAATGTAAAACTCAGACATTTCTCTGAGGGAAGAACTTGTAATCTGGTTGGGGAAAAGGGACACGCTCCCAAAATGGCAAGCAGTTTTATCCAAAAATACACCTGTTGCTTGCTTTTTAGAAACCAGAAACACATTTCGCATATCAACAGGGGGTTAGGTGCCCAGACCACCCCCACTGAAGCCTATCAGTGATAGTAATCACGCTTTGGAAAATCCAAGAGAGCCCACCCAGCCCACATGCTTCATGTTAAACCACGCATTCTCAGTTTTGGGTTGAAAAGCATGGTTGCTTTACCATTTGAGCATGCAATACACAGCACTAATGCAATAATAATTATGTGATTCATGCCACATTGTCTCCATAGAGACAGGTGATGAATTTCCACTTTGAATGATAGGCATGAAGCTCTTTCCCTGAGAACTAAAATCTTAAGATCAACAGAAAAGTATGTTCATGTAACTGGCTCCTTCTTAGCATGAGGGCTTAGTTCAGACTTTTCCTCCTCTGAGAGACATCCCCTGACCACACTGTCTACAGCCCAACACCCTCCTCCATCCCAACACTCAGTGTTGTTACCTAATAATTTTTCAGGGCATTTGTCACTATCTGAAATAACCTCATTTTCCCATTAGCTTGCATAGTAATTGTGCAAACTAATTACTATGCATAATGTAATTATGGATAGTGGATAATCCATAACAGTGGATAAGCCCTCCACTGTTATCCTCCATTTCTTGCACACAGAAATTCTCATAAATATTTTTGGATGATTGAATCAAAAAATAAGGATAGGAAAAGTCAGCTCCAAGAGAAGGCATGATGTCAAGGGCAACCAGATCCACAAGCAATTGAATCATTAATATACCTAAAGAAAAAATGGAATGGGCTGAGAAAAATTGGCTGAGATATGTCTCAAACCAACAAAAATATACTGTCAGACAGAAAAAAAAGTATCATGATTGTAAAGGTAGACATATCAGGACAGAGGATACCAAGATCATTAAATGGTTCAGCTACTGAATTCACGTGTGCACCAGGCAAACTTCTGATGATGTAGGTTCCCATGTAGCTTCGGGGAAACAACATGTAGGTCAGGTTGATGCAAATATCCAGACCACCCATGGACATTATTAAACCAATACTCTGGCTTATCCATCAGTCTCTGAGAGTCAGCAAGATTCAGCATCCCAGTCTGAAACTCTAGAAAAATACTTACATTAAATTTCTAGTGTCCAGGGAGGCAGCACCAGGCAGTGGTTTGCAGTCTGATCGGCTAGCAGAGATGGTGCAGCAGTTTAGAAAGTGGACTGAGGGACTTGCCTGGTGGTCCAGCCATTAAGAATACTCCTTGCAAAAAAAAAAAGAATACTCCTTGCAGTGCAAGGGACACTGGTTCAATCCCTGGTCTGGGAAGATCCCCCAGGCTGCCAAGCAACTAAGCCCAGGCACCACAACGACTGAGCCTGTGCTCTAGAACCCAAGAGCCACCACTAATGAGCCTATGTGCTACAACACCTGAAGCCCGTGCACCCTGGAGCCCATGAGCCACAACTACTGAGCTTGTGCTCCCTAGAGCCTGTGTCTGCAACTAAGAATAACCCCGCTCGCCACAGTTAAAGAAAGCCCATGTGTGGCAATGAAGACCCACCACAGCCAGAAACAATGAACTAAAATAAATAAATAAATTGTAAAAAAAAGACAAGAAAGTGGGCCAAGGAGTGAGAGCTCCTGGGTCTATAACCCAGTGCTGCCACTCACTAGATGTGGACCTTGGGCAAGTCTTGAACTTCTCATCACCTCCATGACCTCATTATGAGTGAAGAATAATAGTAGCATGTATTTCATAGAGTTATTAAATGAGTTTGCAGATTAAATGAGTTAGTTGAAATCAAGTGCTTAGAACAGTGCCTGTCCCAGGTTAGGAGCTCGAGAAGCATGCCTCCTCCCACTACTCTGTGAAATAACAGATACTAGTAAAGGTGCTTGTGTGGCAGAATGCCTGCCATAGAGCAAGCACTCAGTAATGAGTAATTTCTCATTTTGGCTTGTTTTTGCTTTGGCAAGGTCTCTATGCCTTACCTGCAATGAGTTCACCAAGATAAATGTCATCTTGTTGCATCCCTTAGAAGCCACCCATTTTCCTTTCCCAACGACACTCAGCTCTTGACACAGGCCTTTAAATGAATCTCAGTGCCGTTCACAATTATTCCCGTTGGTGGCAGCCGTATTAGCAGAATCAAGGAAATTTACTCTTAGTACTTGTATCCTGTCATCTCTACATCTGTGGAATGTGAATGTAACGTGCAGAGCTGAACGTGACCTTAGATGTTATCTTACTCAAACCTTTCTTTTTAGTGATGGAAAAAAGCGTTCTTCGAATCACAATTATAAGTTTAAAATAATGCTTTAGGGCTTCCTTGGTGACTCAGTGGTGAAGAATTCATCTACGAATGCAGGAGATACGGGTTCGAGCCCAGGTCTGGGAAGATCCCAAACGCTTAGGAAGAACTAAGCCCGTACACCACAGCTACTGAGCTTGTGTCCTAGAGCCCAAGAGCCGCAACTCCTGAAGCCTGCGTACCCTAGAGCCCGTGCTCCACAACAAGAGAAACCGCTGCAATGAAGAGACTTCGCACAGCAACGAAGCGCAGCCCCCGCCGGACGCAACTACAGAAAAGTCCGTGCAGCAGTGAAGACACAACACAACCAAAAATAAATATATAAAATCATAAAAACAAAATAGTGCTTTTAAATAGTTATCTTGCCCCTTAAATTTTCTATCATTATGATTTATAACATACATATCAACATATATATGTACATATACATATGCCCAAACATCCTTTTCAAATCAAGAACATTTATAGACCACAGCTTTGAGACCTACTTTTGTGGTCTGTTCCCCTTACTATCTTGCAGGTCTCTAGCTGGCAGGGACCATGGCTTTTTTGCTCCTTTCCCATTAATAATGCTTTGGGGAGCATGCTCCACACAGTGTCTGGGTCAGTGAGAATCCCAGAATGAACACTCCTGGGCTCAAGCTGAGCCACCCCAACCCTAAGTGTCTGTATTTGTGTAGTGGACGTCTGTCAACATCGCCGGCCTAGCACGTCTCCCTTCCTCTGAGCAGATAGGCACCCCCTCCCTTTTGGGGATGGCTTTTTCTGGGCTCAAGTCATGTAATTCAAAGGGCTGCCACCATCTTGTTCAGTGACAATTCCAGCCTGATCACAGTGACTGTTTGAGAGAGAGAGAGATATAATTTAAATATTAAAAATTAAATATAAAATAAATATATATATAAAATTTAAATACAGAATTTTTATTTTTATAAAAATTTATTTTTACAAATAAAATTTAAAATATGTATATAATATAAAGTTTTGTTTATTTTTATTTATTTATGTCTGGCTGTGCTGGGTCTTCATCACAGCATGGGTTTTTCTCTAGTTGCAGTCATCGGCGGGCTACTCTCTAGTTGCGGTGCCCGGCTTCTCATTGCAGAGGCTTCTCTTGTTGGGGAGCACAGGCTCTAGGGTGCAAGGGCTTCACTATCTGAGGTGCATGGGCTCAGGAGTTGCGGCTCTCTGGTTTTAAGAGCACAGGCTCAATAGTTGTGGTGCACAGGCTCCGTCGCTCCGCAGCATGTGGGATCTTCCCAGACCAGGGATCGAACTCATGCCTCCTGCATTGGCAGGTGGATTCTTTACCAGGGAGCCACCGAGGAAGCCCCTCGTGACTGTGTGAAAGGCAGGCGTCTGACTCGAAGCAGCCCCATCACAGCACCCTCACCTCCTGTCCACAGTAACAGAGCCAGGGGTGGGCCTGTGACTCAAGTTCGTCCCTGGAATCCTTTTAATTGGAGCTGAGGAAGCAGGTTAATTTCCTTTCTGGTGAAGCTTTAAATGTGAGTCAGGAAGAGTCTTGTCCCCCATTTTTTGGAGTAAGTTAACTCCCAACACAGAGGAAGGAGCAGAGATGACTCATTTGTGTCCCTCACTGGACCTGATGCTTCCGTGGCTCCTCTGAGTCTATGAATAATTCCAGATTCCTCCCAGAAACTTCCCCTTGCTCCTTGGTTGACTGGTCAGGCTCAGATAGGGGAACTGGGTGTCTGGGTGACAAGATTTTTTTTTTTTTTTTTGCATATCCTTTTATCCATTTTGAATTTTGAATGGATCAATGTAAAATCTATTCAAAACTTCACTGATTGATTAAAAACTGTGCAGAACTCCTTTTAGAGGGAAAACAGTATTTTGTTCACCAAAAGAGTTTTACTGGGCATTTTAACTGCGAAAAAATAGGCTCCCGGGCAGGGCTTGGAAGGCAGAATGTGAGCAAAGATAAAACTAAACTGCCCTCCAGAGTAAATTAGGATTTGGGGGTTTCTCTGGGTGTCCTAGGAGTGAGGGACTGCAGAAGGGGTAAGGGAGCTAAGGCAGAGATATGTGAATTTGAGAATCCAGAAAGCCTGCATTAACTAAGGAAAATAAACCTTTCCTCACCCCGAAATCATTGAGAGGTGGGGCAGGACTGCTAACTTTTACACTGTATGTTACCAATAAAGGATATTGATCCCATCGGAATGCACCCAGTAACCAACACTGGCTTATACTTCTGAGACTGGATATAGGACCTTTCTTGACTCTTAAATGGGCATCTTCAGGCTTCCCTGGTAGCTCAGATGGTAAAGCATCTGCCTACAATGCGGGAGACCCGGGTTCGATCCCTGGGTCGGGAAGATCCCCTGGAGAAGGAAATGGCAACCCTCTCCAGTATTCTTGCCTGGGAAATCCCATGAACTGAGGATCCTGGTAGGCTACAGTCCATGGGTTCGCAAAGAATCGGACATGACTAAGTGACTTCCCTTTCACTTTCTCTTGTAATAGGAGATAGTCAGCTGAGAGCAATTATAACACTGAGGGATGATATGGGTTTAAAATATGTCTAAAGGGGTGTGAGCAGAGGTTCTCAGCCCTCGGCACATGATGCCAGCATCTCACTAGGAGACTTACAGGAGACCCATGGGAACCTCAGTGGATGAGGTGAGGGGGATGATTCTGAGGTGAGGATTCTGTCTCACACCCAGGACTCCTCGAGAATTACCATTCTAGGGATGTTCTTCCATGGTGGCTCCCTAAGGAGCCAGTGTTGGAGTGACAGCTGTGGCCTTGCCCAAACTGTTAGGGTCCCAGGATGATAAAATGCTGCTACAATTTTAAATTTTCTTCCCCTTTTTTTGGGGGGGGGGCATGCTGCGTGGCTTGTGGGATCATAGTTCCCAGACCACGGACTGAACCCAGGCCCTTGGCAGTGAGAACAGAGTTCTAATTACTGGACCGCCAGAGAATCCTCTACATGTTTTTCTAACAGTTACAATCAGATGGACCAATAATGGAAAACTCAGACACAGGCTGGTTCATCTTGTGCCTGGTGGGAAGTTGATTCATCTCCCCCTTACCCTCTGCCATCACCCGATATTCCCGGACTAGATCTCAGAGAACCAGGAGTGGTGCCCAGATCCTGGACTGTAAGATAACCTCGTTCATCTGTGGTTCTTCATTTTCAGCTGCATCTAGCTTAACCTTGTTGTCTCCAGACTTCCTCTCTCAGGAAGCCACTCGCTGCTTTTAGCTGTGCTAAGGGGCCACCAGCGGGTCTGTGGCACCTCGGGTCTCAGGTTGACTGGCAGCCTGCTATGGAAAGGTCTTGGCATTGAAAGCCCATGGAGGCCGGGCCATGACTCACCTTGCATCTTCATCACCTACAACTTCACACATCCTGGCTCTGGCCAGGCCAGCGTCCTGCCTTTCAGCCCCGGTTCCTGCCTCCCCCGTGTGTCCCATCCACATCCCCCATCACTTCTCCCTCCTTCCCTGTCCCATTCAGGTCATCCCTTTATGCCCCGACTCCTCCAGGTTCAGGACATATAAGTTCTTAGCAGCAGATGCTTCTCAGTAGGAATCTGGTAGGAAAGAGTTTTACTCTTCATAATTTTTTTAAAACCAATTTTTACTGCATGCATTCATTTTTTTAATTAAAATACTTTTTAATTAACACATCAGCGGAAGGAAAATAAAAATCCACCCCAAAGCAGGACTACCCTGCTTCCGTAGGTGGACTGCCGGGTCCACACCGAGGATCCTCGCTGCCTGGGGGAGGTTCACACTGACTGTCACCCGCTTTGGTCGGCTCAGACGAGGACTCCCCCGGGGCCAGTGCTGGAGGTTGGGTTGACTTGTGGCGTAACCGAGGGGGCACTCGGTGCAGTGGGGTCCGCCAAACTAGGACCCAAGAAACTAAACCCAGACTCGGCTCTCTCACTTATCATCCGTCACTAAACCTCTTTGGGAATCAGCTCCTTGAAGGTGAAATAAAGGGACAGACTCGAGCTGTGGGCGCAGATGTTTCAAATCATGTCTCCCATCCAAATACTAACCAGGCCTGACCCTGCTTAGCTTCCGAGATGAGACGAGATCGGGCGCGTTCAGGGTGGTATGGCCATGGACCAAACTCATGTCTCAATAGGGGTTTCTCCCCCCTCCTTCACACACTCAGCAGCCAAAAAGCAAAACATGACCCCGTTGGTCTCACTTCCCATGATTTAGGTTATGAAAATGGTGATTTTTCTCCATGTGCTTTTGTAAAACAGAATACTGCTGCCTCCCAACCAGAACCACAGACTAGAGGGTTCCCCTCCTGCTCCAACAAAACTCTACTGAGCTTGTCTACATTTAACTTCTCATTTTCTTAAGATGTGCCTCCTTCCGAAAGCAGAATAGAAGAAGAAAAACAAAATCCCAGTTAACTGGATTCCAGTTCATTGAGGGTTTACTATGGGAAGCCACGCTGGAGAACCCTCCAGCCTTGTGAACATGCAGTCTGCGATCTGGACACCTTTTATTTAATTTCGGGAACTCCCTTTGCATGGCAAAAAGGGATCTGAGGAAAGCAGAGCGGCAGAGATGAGGGCAGGGGCAGAGGCAGAGCACTCACGAACTGTGGTCCCCCCAGGCTGGGAGAGAAGTGGGACCCAGGGGAGGAGCAGAAGTCATTCTTGACACAAACAAGGGGCCTGGGGCACGCCACCCCACCCCAGTGCCTGGCCATGCAAGACGCAGAAATGGAGACTGTGGCCCATCAGGACCACGGAGGAGATGCACCGAACTAGTGGGGAGTCCCCTGGGGGCCACCCCCTGACCCCCCGCAGGCACCTGCAGGGTCTGGAGCCCAGGAGGGTCTGTGTCCGAGTCCACGGGGCATGGCCAGATAACAGATAGCACCAGTTGGGAGGCTCAGGGCAGGAGAGCGACAGAGGCTCTCAGAGGCTAGCACCTGCTGGCCCGGGCCCTCCTAGGACAAGACTCACTTCCTGCCTGGCTGCTCTGGCAGCAGGAGCCTTGCCCTCACCCCGTGGCCCCAGGAAAGGAGGAAATTGTCAGGACGAGGTCTGAGCCGGGGCACCAGCTGCCTCCGGAGGGCCAGGGGCACCACACCGAGGGGCTGAAGGTGGGAGGGACAGGCTGGGGGTCCGGGGGGGGGGACCTCCCTCCCGCCCATTGGTGCCCCAGCACCGAGAACCTTCCAGAAGCACACTCCCGGGGCATTTTGTAGTCAACCCATTCCCCGCCCCATGACCCCATGAGTGGGCCCCCTGTTGCTTCTGATTTATGTGTGGTGGGTCAGAGGCAGAGAGACCAGGCCACAGTGGTCTCTCCAGTTCCAGAGGTAGGCAGAGCGCGTGTGTGTGTTGGGGGTGGGGTGGGGTGGACACTCCGCTGGGGGCCCGGCCCTGGTTCCCCGCCCGCCCCTCTAAACCATCTCAGCTGTGTCTCCCCTTCCTCAGCTATCCAGTCGGGAAACTCCGACCCCCACCTACCTCAGAGGGACACGCTAAGGGTGAAAATCGATAACGGATAGAAAAACGTGTCTAAAAAAAAAAAAAGTATAAAGCGCTATTCAAACGCGAGGCAGTGTTGTCATCACGGAGATCCACCCCTTAGCACGTCCCTCCTCTTTCACCTGGACACCCCGGCTTCCTGTTTTAGGGTCGCTTTAACCCTTAGGACCCTATTTCTTAATCTCGGCAGGAGGCCGAGACTGCCGGGTGGCTTTCCCTGACCACGATCTGAGACCCCAGAGCCCCAGAGGCCGAAAGGGCAGGCTAGGTGCCCGAGGGGTGGTGGGGGTGTGTGCTGGCCTCCTCGCTGTCCTGCCAGGACCTTCCCTGCGGGAGGAAGCCCCTCGGTCCACCCCGTGAGAAGAGCTGGGCTGCCCCTTCAGCCGGACAGGTCTAGGGGACCCCTGCCCCGCCCTCCCCACCCTCAGGGGGACCCCCCCACCCCTCCCACCCTCAGGGGGACCCCCTGTCTGGAGTGCAATTCCTGTTCCCGATTTCCAGCAGGTGGCGGCTCGAGGGAGGGAAGGCGCCCGGAGAACCGAGGGCGGGATCGTGGTGGGGGGGAGCGGGGGGAGCCTCAGGGCGCGCCCCCCAAGCTCGCCCCGCCATCCCCGCCGCCCCCCAGCCCTGGCCCTGCTCCCGCGGCCGCCGCCGCCGCCCCCACCGCCGGGCCCTAGTCTCGCTCTGGCGGCGGCTGCAGGGGCCGCGGGGCGCCCAGACCAGGGCCGCCGCCGGGGCCGCCGCCGCCGGCGCTGTGCACGCGCAGGTGGTCCTTGAGCGACTCCTTGTAGCGGAAGCTCTTGCCGCACTCGCCGCACGTGTAGGGCCGCTCGCCCGTGTGGATGCGCTGGTGCTTGAGCAGGTTCTGCTTGCGGATGAAGCTCTTGCCGCACAGCGCGCACTGGAAGGGCCGCTCGCCCGTGTGCAGCCGCTGGTGGTTCTGCAGGTGCTCCTTGCGGCTGTAGGTCTTGTCGCACTCGGAGCACTTGTAGGGCCGCTCGCCGCGGTGCGTCATCTGGTGGCGGATGAGGCCCGAGTGGCAGTTGAAGCTCTTCTCGCACTCCGCGCACTCGTACGGCCGCTCCTTGGTGTGGCTGCGGTGGTGGATAATCAGGCTCTTGCGCACGCCGAAGCTCTTGCCGCACTCCGGGCACGCATAGGGCTTGCTGCGAGCCCCGCCGCCGCCTCCGCCGCCGCCGCCGCCGCCGCCGTGCAGGAGGAGGCTCCGCCGGAGGCCGGCCGGGGAGCAGCAGCTGCCGCAGCCCCCGCCCGGACCCCCGCCCGCCGCCCCCGCGCCCGCGCCGCCGCCGCCCGCGCTCCCGCCGCCCTCGCCGCCCGCGCCGCGCTCCCCGGGCAGCGCCGGGAAGCTGTCGTCCAGCAGGGCGCCCCCGCCGCGGCTCGGGGGGCCGCCCGCGTCCTCCGGGGGCGCCGGCAGCGGGGGCAGGCTGGGCGGCGCGGGCTGCGGCGGCGGCGGCGGCGGCGGCGGGGCCGGGTTCTTCACCATCAGTAGGCTGTCACCTGGGGGAGAGACACGAAGAAGTGACATGCTGACCCGGCTCGTCCGGGGCGCGGGGGACCGACAAGCGTCCCTGCGAGGGGGGGGGGGGTCCTTGACTAGGTCCTCTGCGGCCTCCTGCGAGCCACAGGCTGGCGGGCCCCCAGCTTCCCCCGAGGATGAGGGGATTACACACGGCTGCCTGACCCTCGGACCCGCACAGAGCCGTGTCCGAAGTGGGTAGGTGGCGGCAGGGGGGGCCGGGGGGGGGAGGGGAAACGCACGCAGCTAGGTCAGGAAACACCCCCAGATGCTGGGAAGAGCGGCGCTTTGCGAAAGCTCTCTTGAAAGGCAGAATTGCCCGGAAATAGACTTAACTGTATTGATGTTCGATGCTAATTTATCTAAAGAGAATCTCTTGACAAGAGGGAAAGAATTGCCAGAACCTATCCCAGGTGATGGAGAAGGAAATGGCAACCCACTCCAGTACTCTTGCCTGGCGATTCCATGGACGGAGGAGCCTGGTAGGCTACAGTTCACGGGGTCGCAAAGAGTCGGACACGACTGAGCGACTTCCCCTCCCTACCTTTCCCATCCCAGGTGAACCCACCACACAGGAGCCTCAGGCAGTAAAGAACTTGCCTGCAATGCAGGAGACCCGGGTTCCATCCCTTGATTGGGAAGATCCCCTGGAGAAGGAAATGGCAACCCACTCCAGTCTTCTTGCCTGGAGAATCCCATGGACGGAGGAGACTGATGGCCTACGGTCCATGGGGTGCGTGGGATTGAGCCACTGAACCACCACCACCACCATCCCAGGTGAAAAGCCTGTCTAAAGGCCTAGAGGAGTGGAATGCAGGGAACTGGGGGCACATACACCCCCCCCCCCAGCACCATGTGTGGCTGCATCTCCACTAAGCACGAAGTCTTTGGCCTCCTACAGCAGCGGGGTCAACTGGGTTGGTGCGAGTCCCATCTGGCCTCAGACCCCATCTGCAGGGAGCAGATGTCATGGCGCTCTGCACCCCCTCCTGCGGAAGCAGCTGCTCAGCCAGCCTCCCCAGGAAGCGCCAGTCTTGCTCCTGCAATGATGTCCCTTGCTCGCATCCCTGCCTCTCCCCAGTCCATGCTCCCGCACTGCCATGGGGTCAGGGACACAAAGTCCAGAGTATCGATCAGAGCAGCGACCTCAGGCCCAGAACTCCGACCCCCGAGGAACCACTGGGTTTGGTGACCGTGTTCAGGAGCCTACTCCTTCCTTCACCCTCCATCATCACCTCCTGGATCCCTCGTTCACAGTCCCTTCTTCCTGCAGGAGCCCCCAAACCGTGACATGTGTTTCTTACCAGCTGCTCCTAAACAGACTGGGCTGAGACGCACCAGCCAACGCTGACGGTAGTAGGTCTGGCTGTGGCCTCTGTCACCACTGACTGTGGGCCTTGCTTCTCCCTCTCCACTATCTGCTCCTCTCATTCCTTCGTAGGTGTTATTCCCAAGAGGACGCCCAAGTAAACCTCCATCTCGGGGACTGTTTCCCGGGAAACCCAACCCCAAACGGTCCCAATCCTCCTCGGATCGTGCGTCACACTCGGTGTGAGCACAAGTTTTTTGGTGCTCTACCTTCCTGACCCAGCTTAGCTCCTGGGTCCCTCTGCCCTCTTCCTCTGTTGGGTTTGCCCGGGGGACCCAGCACTCAAGCAGCTGAAGACTGCAGAAGATCACACGTCTCAGACCCTGGCCTCCTACCCTGCAACTCTCTGTTCCATCTTCCCATTTTCCATGGAGATTATGTCACACCTTCTCCTCCAGTGTCTAACATGAGGACTTGTTAACTCTGGAAATCATTGGCCAGTAACTGATTCAGATACAAGCACATGACCTTGTTCTGGCCGATGAGATGTGTTTGCTGGGAAGGCTTCCTCACTCCCTGGAGAGAGTATAGGAAAAAAAAAGATGGTCTTTCCTTCCCCTCTGGGTCTGGAGGTGATGCTTGGAACAGCTGTAGCCATCTTGCTCCATCCACACCAAGGGTGGATGAGCAAGGAGTTGGAAAGAACCTGGAGCTTTGGTAAAACAGCTGAATCCGTGAACTAACCGAGACTGAAACCAGACCACCTCTTCGTTATGTATGAGAATAAATGTCTTTATTCTTTGAGTGTGGGTGGGTGGGTTTCTTTCTGTCCTGTGCTACTGAAATTCTCTTTTTTAGTTTTATTTTTTTGTCTATATTCTTTAAAGCAGTTTGAATGAGGGATCAAAAGCAGTGAGTGTCCTTCCGGACACAGTGGTACAGCTTCACCCAACTTAACCCTCCCTTGACTTCATGGGCTCCCCCTATCCAGCTATCAACTCATCTCAATTCTCTGTTCTTTTTTTTTTTTTTAAGAGTTAGCTATACTTGCTTTCACTACTTCTTCACCTCCATTCTCTTTCAGACTTTCATAATCAGGCACGTGTCCCAGCATGCCACCTAAACTTGTCAGCGTTCAGCTCAGCTCGCTCCCAGTCCACTCTCCTTTCCCCCACTGTTAAGAATACTCTTGAGAGTTCCTTGGACAGCAAGAACATCAAACTAGTCAATACTAATGGAAATAAACCCTGAATATTCATTGGAAGGACTGATGCTGAAGCTGAAGCTCCAATATTTTGGCCACCTGATGTGAATAGCCAACTCATTGGAAAAGATCCTGATACTGGGAAAGATTGAAGGCAGGAAGAGAAGGGGGTGACATGATGAGATGCCTGGATGGCATCATCCACTCAATGGACATGAGTTTGAGCAAACTCTGGGAGATAGCAAAGGATGGGGAAGCATGGTGTGCTGCAGTCCATGGGGTCACAAAGAGCTGGACGTGACTTAGAAACTGAACAACAGCAACATATCCCCTCTAAGAAGATATGTCAAAATCTGGATCCCCCCAGTGGTTCAGAGTGTGACCTTCTTTGGAAATAGGCTCTTTCCAGGGGGAATTAGTTAAGATGAGGTCATACTGGAGGAGGGCAAGCCCCTAATACAATGTGACTCCTGCCCTTACAAGACACAGATACACAGACGGTGTGAAGACAGAAGATTAGGGTGATACATCCACATACCAAAAGACAGCAAAGATCACCAACAAACACAGAAGCTAGGAGAAGGCAAGGCGGGGTCTCCCACAGCTTTCAGGGGGAGCAGGGCTGTGCCAACCCTCTGACTTCAGACTTCAAGGCCTCCAGAACTATCAGAATAAATGCCTGCTGCTTCAAGCCATACTGTCTAGTATTTTGTTAAGATAACCCTAGGAAACTAACACCCCTGCATCCTCGAAAGGAAAGGGGACAGTGCTTTGAGACAGACCTTTGAAAGGCCGCCACGACAGAGCATTACCCTGTAAGGGGGCAGGCTGGGTGAGCAGCCATCCCTCTGGACCAAATACCCAGGGGCCCGGCTGGGTGCCCCACTCACCGGGGCCAGAGTCTAACCCGAGCTCCCCGTCCATGGAGTCGCGTGGGCCCCACGGGTACGGCTGCTCCTCCTGCTTTATCCATGACAAGATGTCGTGGGCGGAGATCAGAGACTCTGTTCGGGGAGAGAAGGCAGACTTAGAGCCTGTTCATTTCGCCAAGCATCCCGTCAAAGTCTCACACACCACCACATGCAGAGGCCGCTGCTCTGCCCAGAGGGCGTGTGCCAGTCTGGGTACCCTGTGCCCCCACCCTCTGTGAGGCTTCCCTGAATGGACCTCACTGGTGCTGTTGCACCTGGGCTCGGCCAGGCAGGAGGCCCGTCTTTCAGGAGGCCCATGTGGGGACAGAGCCAGGATGGGGATCCCGGGAGCCCCAAGGGCCATCTGTGGGGCCAGGCCAGAGGGGAACCTGGCCTCTGACGGCCCACAGGACAGAGGGAGGATGGCGAGGCCTTCATGATCAGCGACGGCAGAGGCAGTGGACAGAGGTCATTAATGAGAACTGCAGCAGAACGTCCGCCTCTCTTATCAGGAGGCGCTGCTTTCTCCTTTGTCCTGGAGCCTTTCAGCTCCCCGCCCCAAACCGTGTGAAGCTACAGAGCCGACGAACGACACGGAGCCCCAGACTCTACACTGGCTTTTCTGCCTGGTGTCCCCAGGGGTCACAACCACCAAATGAGATGACGCTGGCCTCCTCCAGCTCTGCAAGCATACACGAACATATGCAGATATGCACACACACACACACGCGTGTGTGCACACAGAAGCACATATATACACATGTGCACACATGTCTGTGCACGCACACACACACATACACGCACGTGCGGCCTGGGTGGGCAGAGCTTCCCTTCTGCTCTTTTATGCTTCCCTTTGCGCCTGGACTACCGCCAGAAGTTTTCTGGAAGACAGCTAGCTAGTATTCGCTCAAGGAAAATTCCAGAAAATGTAAATTACTTTCTTTCTGTCACAGAAATATGTGCAACCTTTAAAAGGCTTTTCAGGGACTTCCCTGGCTGTCCAGTGGTTAAGACTCCGTGCTTCCACTGGGGTGCAGGTTCGATCCCCAGGCAGGGAACTAAGATCTCATATGCTGTGTGGCATGGCCAAAAAAGTATAAAATAAATAAATAAAAGGCTTTTTGATTATACTTCAGAAATTAGCTAAGTCATTTCAGTATCAGTTCACTGACAGGACAAATTATTGATGTAAAGAGTCCTTTAGAGAAATCCTCCCTACTTTTCTAGTACTTACATGCCAAAATGCGTACAAAGTCGTCCTCTGGGGGACACACGGTGGTTCATTCCCTGAGTCTCTCACTGGCCTTTGACCAAAGTGACTCAGTTGGGTTGATTTCCCGGCAGATACTAATGTCACCCCTCACATGCACCGGCGGCCCACTCACCTGAGTTGGGGTCCGTTGGGATGTCCCTCTCCGCCAAGTCCTGCTGGTCCCACACGCACGGGGGCTCCTCCTGTTTGATCCGGGACAGGAGATCCTGGGCGGACGCCGGCGAATCTGCTTGGGGGTCAGAGTGGCAAAGGGGTCAGGGGACGTGGGCCCACCCGCCAGGTGCTGCTTTCCGTCTCTCCGTAGATTCTTTTCCCTAAACGTCAGCGGGAATTATTTGAGGTCATTAAAGCCTTAGGTTGACTTGGCCCCCACTGCTGGCACTTTTGCTGAGAATAAGTAGAAACTACAGGGGAGTGATGACATCACACGGATGTCGCTGAGAGAGCTTGTCTGTCCTTCAGGAATGTAACCCCTTTCCACGGAGCTTCACACCCAAAGCCTGAGCACCGCCATGAGGGAGGTCTTCCTCCTACAGGGACCAGCCAGGGAAATGACACTTCCAGGAAGCCTTTGGGAGATGGTGAAGGTCAGGGAGGCCTGGTGTGCTGCAGTCCATGGGGTCGCAAAGAGTTGGACACAACTGAGCGACTGAACAACAAGAAAGTCTTTTATCTTCACCATCTTAGCGGAAATTTTCTAAGATGTAACCTACCTGTTCTTTCCTCTGCAGAGTCCATTAAACCTCATTTACCTTTTATTGCCTTCTTATCTCAAGAAGGTCTTATCTCTTAAGACCCCACTGGAGATAGTAACATGGCTCTGTTGGCTTTCAAGCAACGAGCTGGCTGAACTGGAAAGCTGTTTTCCTCTGCTGGAGGGCTGTTACCACTCACCTATGAGTGTGAGGCTTTGACTAAGGGAATGAGGCTTGTAATTTAAGAGTTTATCTTAACTTATAACATACTATCATCTTAACTTGTAGTCACAAGGTGTTACTGTATCTTGTGATGGGTAATTTTATGTGTCCGCTTATGTAGGCCACAGGACCCAGATAGTAGGCCAAACATTACTTTGGATGCTTTTATGTTGTTTTGTGTTGTTTTGAGGAGTTTAACACTTAACCTGTAGACTTGGAGTAAGGTGGATTACCTTCCGCTTTGTGGGTGGGCCTCTCCCATCAGCTGATGGCCAAATAGGAAAAGACTGACTCCCCGAGGAAAAGTGAATCCTGCTGGCAGACTGCCCCAGTCTCCAGCTGGCAGAAGCCAACTCCTTCAATTCAATCACTCTCTCTCTACACGTATGTGTGCACGCACACACCCTACTCTTCTTTGGAGAACTCTGACTAAGCCACATCTCGAACAGAGCGCTCACGTACACATGTTGGATGGATGCTGTCAAAGAGGAAGTACCCAGACTGCCCGTCAGGACGGTGCCTGGGGCAGCGGGGTGGCTGGCACAGAGGCAACAGTTGTGTTTGTTTAAAACAAATCAGTTCTTCCCACTTGGGAGCAGGTCTTAGGGACCCACAGATTCCCCACCCACCGAACCTCTAAGATGCCTCACTCTCGGTACTTCTGCAGATACTGTTTTTCGAGGGGAGAAAGGAATAGTTAAAAACTTGATGTTACAAAGAAGAGAAAAGAGAATGGCTAAGGCCAGAGGTGCTGCCCCTCGTCCCTGTCACACACCGAGTCTGTGCCTCGTGGGAAACCCTGTCTTTCTTATCCATCAATCGTGGACCCACATGCCTCTGTCTTCAGCTCAGGCCTCTGGCGGGGCACACCCGTCAGAGAACGCTGGGCGCTTGCAGACCACGCAGGCCCTTCCCTCCACTGCTCCACCCGGGTGGCCGGGCAGCTCACTCACCGGTTATGGACTCCGTGGGGATGGCTCTCTCCTCCAGGCCCCGCTGAGCCCGGGTGCACAGGGCCTCCTCCCGCTTCACCTGAGAGGATGCATCTGGTGCTGGCCCCAGGGGCTCTGCTCCTGGGGACAGAGGGTCACACGGTCGGTGCCGTATTCAGGAATGATCGTCAGCTTGGGGTCAGGGGCACGGCTGACAGCGCTCGCCAGGGAAGAGCACAGGGGCCTTGGGTTCTTATGGGCACCGAGGAACCCTGAGGAGCAGAAGGGCCCGGGAGCAGAGAGGTGATCAACCTCCAGGACAAGGGGTGGGCCATGCCGCACAGCGAGGTAAGAGAAGGAAGCCAGCGAGCGTGCAGACAGCCCATGCTGGGTGGGTGCTATCAGGACAGGCCATAGGTCTCCTCCGTGTGGGAGACATGCAGCTTCATTCTGCACCCCAGTCAGAAAGAGTGGGCCACACACACACACACACACACACACACCTGCACCAACAGACACAGACAGAAACACACACGGACACACACACACACATACACAGACAGACACACACAGGCGCACCAACAGACACAGACAAATGGACACAGACACACAGACATACACACACACACACCCCAACATACACAGACACACACATACTCAGACACACACAGACACACTCACACACACAGACACATACACAGACACACAGACTCACCAACAGACACACAGACATATACACACACACAGGCACACACCCACACACACACATATACAGACACATAGAGACATACAGACACATACACACACAGACACACACACAGAGACACATACAGACACACACAGAGACCGACAGACACACAGACACAGATACAGACACACACACACAACTAGCAGGAAGTTAGACTGGGCAAAGGCAAGCAGCCCAGCCCCATTCCTGGATGGCTAACGCACAGCATCCTATGCATAAGGGACAATAACGCATCTTCCATGTAGACCCCAAGACATGACCACAGGGCATCTTCCTCTTACGAGGCTCTCTGGTGTGACATGTAACACCAGCTCCGGCAGGAGACAGCTCAGGCAGGAGGAAAGAGACTAGATGAGGAGACGGAAGGCACCAGCTTTCAGGTCTGCCCTCTGCCTAGCCGATGAGTCACGTGGCCTCTCTGGCTCTCAGTCGGCTCTGCCCCCGCTTAAATGGACGCCGTGGTCTCTGTTCTATGTGGCACAGGCATGGATGACAACTCAGTGAAACAGCTGAGGCTACACTGCTTTCATGGGAAAGCTCATCACAGCTGCTGACCTCACACGTGTGGTGCTTACGCTGGGGAAGGGGCCACTTAGACAAAACCTCCAGAAGAGGCAGGTCCACAGCGACCAGTGACTGGGGGCTATGGAGGACGGCGATGACTGCTCCCGGGTGTGGGGTTCCCTGTGAGAAAGTGTTCTGGAATTAGATAGTGCTGATGGCTGCACCAGCCTGTGAACCACTGAATCCTACACTCCAAACGTGAGTTTATGGCAATGTGAATTACATGTCAATAAGGAGAGCAAACTGGGAGGTAGGGCGCTGCCTTGAGCAACCTTCTGGGGAGGTTTTGGTGAATACACCCTCCACTTGTGAGACAGGAGGGGCAGAGAGCCCCGACAGGAAGGCTGCTGTGATGAGGCAGAGAAGACGGCTGAAGGACTGGATTTCACCTGGTCCGACACCGTCAGGAGAGCCGCGTCCCCGAGAACCCGCACACTTCCTGTCACCAGGTGTGATGTTCTCAGGGAACTGGAGCCTCAGAACGTAAGATCCCCCTTGGGTGAGGGGACAGCCTTGGAGGTTAAATCTGCCTGTGAGAACAGGCTGAGAATGCTGAAGATGACAGCCAGGCACGAGGCAACTGGCCACGTGCACCACGCACAACACGCACACCACGCACCCACGCACTACGCACACCACGCAGGCTACACATACCATGGACAACACGCACCATGCGCACACCATGCACCCACGCACATTACGCACACCACGCAGCCACGCACACTACGCACCGACGCACACCACACCCCCCACACAGCCAGGCACACTACACAGCGACGCAGACTGTGCACCCACGCACACCACGCACCCACGCAGAGCCCTCTCCGCCCTCCTGCCTGGGCCGGGGCGCTCCCACGTCAGAGCTCCAGTCAGGCCTGGGAGGCCGCCCTTTCCGGTCCTCTCCAGTTTGTCTGGGCATCTCAAGCGACATGCGTCTAACCCAAAAGACGAACCTCCATGGTGGGCTTTCTGGCCCCGAAACTTCTTGTACGTGACCGCCAAATCTCAAAGGCTGCAGAGCCGGCCCCACGAACAACTTAAGAGAAGCCCCCCGCCCCACAACTCAGGCTGGGATGGGGGCTTCTCTCCCGCCCCGCCCCGCCCTGGGGCTCTCTGCAGCTGCCATCACCTGTGTCTGGATCCATGAGGATCTCTCTCTCTTCTGGGTCACGCTGCTCCCACACGCAGGGCTCTTCCCGAGGCTCAGCCTGAGATGGGGCTTCCGGCTTGGACACGGGTCCCTCCGAGTCTGGGGTGAAGTGGAGGGCAAGGACAGGCTGAGTGGAAGTTGACCAAAGGGGCCCCATCAAGGGCGATGGGGAGCCCGCCCCTCCGCTACCCTGGCGCCCCTCTAGGTGGGTGGCCCGTTATGTCAGGTCATCTCTCAGGACAGTGTAAGTCAATGGATGCTCTAGTTCCTGGTGGAGAACTAGCTGGGTTCCGGAACCCAGAAATAGCAGCAGAGATACCGGTGGCTTCTCCAGGGCGGCTGGGAGGTAGCACCTAGGGATGCTGTTGGGCTGTATTCCAGAATGGTAGCAGCCAAGTGTTCAGTTTTGTAGTAATAGGCCCTGTTCCTGGGTCTTTACTTTCCATCCTCTTATCAATTGCTCTAACTTCCTAACAGAGATGCACATCGTCTCTTGAATTTCCATGAAGTATAAACATGAAACACCTTGCCTGGGGGTGCACCCTGGGTTAAGAAGCATGTTACCCACCCCCCCCCCACCCCCCGCCAACTCCAGAGATCCTCCTCTGTGGGACGGAAGGCACACTTACCCAGGGATATCAGGGTTTTGTAGTTCTCCTTAACCAGGTTGTTGTAAAGCTCCTTCTGCCATTCGTCCAGGTTCTTCCACTCGTCCTCGGAGAAGTAAACAGCAATGTCCACAAAAGTCACTGGAACCTGGGCCAACAAGAGTGTTAGTCTGGTGCTTCCTGCCTGCTGCTCCTCCCCAGCTCCTGGGAGGGGCACGGGACAGTCCACCCCAGACTCTAACCCTGGTCTCCATGGCCCCAACCTCCCCATCCCACTTGGCCCATCTCAGTGGAGTCAGTCCACTCTGATTTTCCTGAGCTTCCAATAACAGGATGATCACCACTGCCTTTTAAAAATCAGGCATTTCATGGAAATCTACTCAAAGTTATATGACAGCCTGGATGGGAGGGGAATTTGGGAGAGAATGGATGCATGCATATGTATGGCTGAGTCCCTTCGCCGTTCATCTGGAACTATTACAACATTGTTAATCGGCTATACTCCAATACAAAATAAAAAGTTTAAAGTTTGAAAAAATATAATAAAAAAATAAAAATGAGGCATTTGACCACATTCTTTGTAAATTCACTTTAAGGTCAACTGGGTACCCAAAGGTCAAGCTTTTGGTGTTCAGGGTGATAGACATAGGCTAGGTTCTTAGTGTCTCAGGGAATCAAGTACAATAAAACCCTGTTGAGAAGCTATATTTCTGTCACTTCTAGGTACACAGCTACATTTTTGTCACTAAAACTTGCTGGTGCTAAAGCTCTGGCATCTGTTTTGGGCACCACTATGTCCCAAGTATCTAGAAGCTCATAGTTCGGAGTCAGTAAGCATTTGCTGGATGTGTTGAATGGTCTTCGCCCACACTAGGAAGGTCCCACTGTAGCCTGAGTCATCGGTTGTCTAATGTCAGTCACAAGGTTCAAGGGTATCTCGTCTGCCCCATAAAGCTGTCATCTCGGATGGGCAAGGCCTCCTATCTGTGCCCATTTCGGTCACTCACCAGCGTGGCCTCATCTGCACAGAATCGTTCAGGATGGTTTCAGTTCCATGACTTTAGGATCTGAGCTTGCCTGCACTGACCACACAGCCTCACCTCCTACCACTTTCTGTTCCTGCTGGGCCAGCCTTTCCCCCCTCACCCTGAAACCCAAGCCCTCGGTTCTCCCTGAGCCCTAACTCTTGGCACCATCCATCTTGGTACCTGACATGTGGCACCTTGGTGTGAATTAGAAAATGCTGCCCTCTTGGGGTCAGGCCCGCGGGCGCACTGTTTGGTGCGTGGGCAAGTGCCCGTACATGGAGAAGTGCCAGCCGCAGGATCGGGTGCTCATCCCCCAGGGGTGTCTGGGCAGGTGCCATGTGCACACCTGGATGCCGCCTACTGCCTGATGGCTCACTCCCAGCTGTGGAAACAGAACTAGAACTTCTAATCCCCCATTCCTTCCACAGACTTGGGCGAACTCCCAACCTAGGAAAACCGAGGCAGACTGCCGTCTTCACTGAAATTCCCTGCCCGAGATAAAGGTCACGAAATTCTGCAGGTGACAATCGTGATACACTCTGACCTCTTGACTGAGGCTCCAGGCTGCTTCGGAAGCCCCTTGATCATCTTGTTCCCATCTCACTGTGTTCCCCAGGAGGCTTCTTTCGAACTCTTTGCTCTCCCCAGCCATCCCCAGTCTCCCCTTGATGGCAGCTTGCTGGCAGCAAGCTCCTGGCTCGGCCCGTCTCCCAGGCGAGCCGACTCCCCACACGTGCCCTTCATTTCTCCTCCTCCTCCTGCTTGTGACACTCAGTCCACGCCAGCTTCTCCCTCTGGCATCTTCCGTCTCTCCGCACCCTGCTCTCACTTCAGGGCCTCCAGCCCTCCACTCTGCCACCTTTAGTAAGGCTATGCGCCTTCTTCTCCTGAAACATTCCAGGGACCTCCCTGTCCAGGGGTGAAGACTCCCCCACTTCTACTGCAGGGAGGATGGGTTCCATCCCCGGTCAGGGAACTATGAATAAGATCCCACATGCCACTTGGCATGGCTAAAAAAAAAAAAAAATCCCAAGATGCACGCTGTGTTTTCTTCACAATCCACATATCCCTAACCCCCTGAAATCTGCCCATGAGCCCCCACTGTCTGAAACCACCTCCTGGGAGGTCATCAGCATCCCGCCATTAACCCTCGACCCCTCAGTCCTCACAGAGAGATCAGAGCGCCTTCCTGAAATCTCCTCCTGCTTGGTTCCCAGAACCATGGAACCCGGCTCTCATCCAGCTCCTCCTTCTTCCCCTCGAGACCAAGGTCCGGGCTCACTCTTTCCTGTTTCCTCACTTTCCCCTTGGCAATTTCTTCTTTTTTTCTCTTGTTTTTTTACAAGTTCTGTGTCATCTCTTTGTAGATGACACTCTTCAACTTTCCCTTCAGAGTTCACATTTCAACGGCCTTCTGACCGGCTTCATTTATTCATCTTTTAAGTACCTCACACTAAATGTGTTCAAAATCAAGTCAGTGGGATTCTCTGGAGATACGGTGGATAAGCATCCATCCACCAACGCGGGAGACGTGGGTTTGATCCCGGGTCCGGGAAGAGTCCACGTGCCGTGGAGCAACTAAGCTTGTGCGCCACAACTACTGGGGCCCGCGTGCCTAGAGACCAGGCTCCATGGCGAGAGGAGCCTGCGCACCACAGTGAAGAGTAGCACCCACTCGCTGCAACTAGGCAAAGTCTGTGCAACAGCAAAGACCCAGTGCAGCCAAAAAAAAAAAAAAAAAAAATCTACTGCCTTTTCCAGCACACCAACTCCTCTGCCTCCCTTCACCAGTCAAAACTCTAGGACCATAGTCTCCCAGGTGGAAACAGACATCACTTTGCAAAAACTTCACTGTGCTAGGATGTGGCAGAAGTCTGAAACATGGTCCAAGACTACAGGCAGCCGACAGTTCAGCCAGACAGAAAAGACTATCCATGAATTATCCAAGAATAATTACCCAATTAATAGAACCCACGAGGCACAGAGGAGCTGAGATACAAGAGCCTTCCTTGGATCTGACAAAGAGAATGCATCTAACAAGGCCAAGAGTCTACAAGGAATTAAAACTATGGCCCGCAATATTAAGTTAACCATCTCAAGGTGCCTTAGGTTTGGGAATGTTCTAAAATATATCCACAAATTCTTTGACAGTCCCTTCAAAAAATAGAGCTTAATTCTCCTCCCACTTAGTACGGGCAAGATTGAATGACTTGCTTCTAACGAATAAAAAAAGAAGTGATGGTGTACAACTTCTGCTGTTTTGTTGATCATTCACTAAGTCAAGTCCAACTTTTTGCAGCCCCATGGACTGCAGCACACCAGACTCCTCTGTCCTTCACTATCTCCTGGAGTTTGCTCAAATTCATGTCCATTGAGTTGGTGATGATATCTAACCATCTCATCCTTTGCCGCCCTCTTCTCCTCTTGCCCTCAATCTTTCCCAGCTTCAGCATCTATTCCAATGAGTCACCTCTTCAGATCAGGTGGCCAAAGTATTAGAGCTTCAGCATCAGTTCTTTCAGTGAATATTCAGAATTGATTTCCTTTAGGATTGAGTGGTTTGATTTTCTTGGAGTCCAAGGGACTCTCAAGAGTCTTCTCCAACACCAAAATTCAAAAGCATCAATTGTTCAATGCTCAGCCTTCTTTATGGTCCAGTTCTCACATCCGTACATGACTACTAGAAAACTCATAGCTTTGACTCTATGGACCTTTGTTGGCAAAGTGATGTCTCTGCTTTTTAACACACTATCGAAGTTTGTCACAGCTTTCCTTCCAAGTAGTAAGCGTTTTAGTGGAGGTGATGGAATTCCAGTTGAGCTATTTAAAATCCTAAAAGATGATGCTGTTAGTGAGCTGCACTCAGTATGTCAACAAATTTGTAAAACAACTTCTGAGGTTGGGTCATAAAAGTTGCTACAGCTTCCATCCTGGTCTCTCTTTCTGGATCATTCACTCTCGGGGAAGACAGCTGCCACGTCATGAGGACACTCAAGAAGCCTTACGGGGCAGGTTCAAGCAGTGAGGAGCTAGCTGAGGCTTCCTGCCAGGAAGGAAGGAGCAACTGGAAGCCAATCCTCCAGCCTCAGTTGACCCTTCCGATGACTCTAGCCCTGGTCAACAGCTTGACTATAACTTCATGAGACTCTGAGACAGAACCACTCAGCTAAGTTGCTCCTGAATTCCTCACCCATGGAAACTGTAAGATGATTTAAAAATATATTTTTTAGGCTGCTAACTGTTGGGGTATTTGTTACACAGCAATGGATAATTAATACAAAGAGCTACAGTGTTGTCACAGCAGTCCTCGCAGCTCCACGAATCAAGCGTATTATCATCTTTGTGTTATAGGTGAGAACACTGAAGCTCAGTGGGACCTGCTGGGAATTCACTTACTGAATGACTTATTTAAAGGTTACTTCTTTCCTAAGAGGAACTGAGGAGGCCTGGAGACAAGAGAAAACATACTTGACCTGTGGTGGGAAAACTGATACATGGTGAAGCCAAGATTCAAACCCAAGCTTTCTGCTTCCGGACCCCACAAGTAAGCCATGTTCTGTGATGCGCAAATCAAACCCCGACATGTGGTTCAACACACAGAATGCACAGCGGGGCCAGGACTCGACACTGGGTCAAAGTGCAGAGCACAGACTGGGGCAAAGGGTGCGTGTGGGAGACAAAGCCAAACAGCATGGTACGTACGCCAAACTCTACACTGACCAGCCCCGAGGGCCGCAGCGGCAGAGGGCGGCGAAGGGAGGAGCCACCGCTAGGTTCAGCTGCGAGGCCTCGGTGGATCGCCGTCCAGCACCTCCTCTGCAAAGCCACTGGCCTGACTGCCAGAGCCAAAGATAAAGAAGGGCCAGTCCCGCATGTGGCCGTGTGAGCCGTCCAGCCGCAGTCGCTCGGCACACGTGTTTTGCTACAAGCAGGTCCTGTCGCAGGCACCAGGATGCCACAGTGAGCCACTCAGAGGAAAGCCAACCAGGAGACACAGAGAAAGTAAGTATTTCAGATACCTGAATGCTTAATTGCTTGGAGGGAATGAGAGCAGGGACCAAGGAAAGAGTGAGCCGGGCTGGGTGGCCGTGAAGGGGACACTGATCCGGTGACAGTTAGCAGACCCCTGATGGGAGCGACCTGGAGCGGGGGCTTCAGTGAAGGAAAGTCCCTGCCAGCGGAACCCTGTGGTGTGCTCGCAGCAAGGAGTGGGCAAGAGAGGGAGAAGGGAGATAAGGTCAGTGGGTGGGTTAGAGGGAGGGGACCACTGACAAAATGGAGGTTTTTCAACTGAATGACCTGGGGAGCCACTTGGGGGCTTTGAACAGAGGTGATATGACTGATTTATATTTTTCAAAAGGATCAGTCTGGCTGCTCTGTTAGAATAGATGGTCTCGGGTAGGGGCCAAGGATGGAGACAAGGGGACCAGCGAGGAGGCCATGGCAGGAATCAGACAGGAGGCACCGGTGGTTACAATTAGAGAAGGTGGGAACAGTGGAGGCGGCGGCGGGTGTGAGGGGGGCTGTGTGTATATTTTGAAGAAAAATCAGATAGTATTTACTAACATAATGGAGACCGGGTGTGAGAATGAGAGGAGGCAAGGATGACCCCGAGGCTTGCAGCCTGAGCAGCTAGAAGGATGAGGATGACTTTGACGAGAACAGAGGGTTCAGGCAGAAATCAGAAGTTCAGTTTAAGTAAATAAGTGAAAGTCGCTCAGTCTTTGTGACCCCATGGACTATACAGTCCATAGAATTCTCTAGGCCAGAATCCTGGAGTGGGTAGCCTTTCCCTTCCCCAGGGGATCTTCCTAACTCAGGGATCGAGCTCAGGTATCCCTCATTGCAGGTGGATTCTTTACCAGCTGAGCTATGAGGGAAGCCCAAGAAAACTGAAGTGGGTAGCCTATCCCTTCTCCAGGGGATCTTCCCGACCCAGGAATCGAACCGGAGTCTCCTGCATTGCAGGCGGATTCTTTACCCACTGGGCTATCAGAGAAGCCCCGGCTTGGTTTGAGTTAAATCTAAGGTATTTACTGACAGCCGGATGGAGATGCTGAATTAGCAGGTAGGAATGTGAATCTGGCATTCGAGAAGGAAGTCTAGGCAGGATACAGAGAGAGAGTGGGAGGGAAAGACTGCACTTGGGAGTTGACAGCACACAGACTGCATCTACAGCGCTGAGCCTGGATGAAATCACGAGGGAGGGAGGAGAGACAGCAGGCAGGTCAGGAGGAGCCCGGGGCCGCTCCGAACACAAGAAAAGGAGAGGAAGGAGCAAAGAAGACAGAAACGGCAGTGATGCAGGGAAAGAACCAAGGGTGGGAGGGGGGTCTGGAAGCCAACAGGTGTTTCTAGGAAGGGGTGGTCTCCTGCATGAAACGCTGCTGAGAGGGCAGGAAGACACAGACTGGGACTTTAATAGTGTGGTTCTAATGACCCTTGGCTCTATGATCATGGACACATTAGAGCTCTGGTAAGACCAACAGGATGACGAGGTGGTGGCAAGAGCCTCAGCCACATGAGTTCAGGGAGAATAATCCAATCCCCAGTTTACTGGAAGACTGAGAAGAGAGGAACACAATAAAAGACCAGGGAGGATGCAGCAACAGAGTCCAGACAGTGAGGAAGGCCACAAGTCAGATGGCCTAGTACTACAAGGGAATACGAGAGAGATGAAGGAGGCAATTACAGGGGGAAAAGACTTAGAGACACAGCAATCACAGTGTGTAGACTTATTTAAGTTCTCATTTGGGCAGCTCAGTTGGTAAAAAATTGGCCTGCAATTCAGGAGACCCAGGTTCAATCCCTGGATCAGGAAGATCCCCTGGAGAAGGAAATGGCAACCCACTCCAGTATTCTTGCCTGGAAAATCCCATGGACAGAGGAGCCTGGCGGGCTACAGTCCATGGGGTCACAAGAGTAGGACACAACTTAGCCACTTAGACTGTAGAAAAAAATATTTTTGGAAGAAAATCGGAACACTGATTGGACATTTGAGTAGGTTGACGTCTTTGTTGTGGTAGCCACAATATTGAGATTATTACTTTAAAAAGTGAGTCCGTAACTTTTAGAGCTACACATTGAAATATTTACAATTAAAGCGACTGCTGGGGACTTCCTTGGCAGTCCAGGGGTTAGGATTCCGCCTTCCAATGCAGGGAGCTCGGGTTCGATCCCTGATTGGGGAAATAAGGTCCCACATGCCTCACGATGGGCTTCCCTTGGTAAAGAAACCGCCTGCAACGCAGGAGACCTGGGTTTGATCCCTGGTTGGGAAGATCCCCTGGAGATGGGAATGGCAATCCACTCCAGTATTCTTGGGCTTCCCTTGTGGCTCTGCTGGTAAAGAATTCGCCTGCAATACAGGAGACCTGGCTTCAATTCCTGGGTTGGGAAGATCCCCTGGAGAAGGCAACAGCTACCTGCTCCAGTATTCTGGCCTGGAGAATTCCATGGACTGTATAGTCCATGGGGTCACACTGAGTCAGATACGACTGACACTTTCACATCGGACACTTTCACACCTCACGATATGGCCAAAAAATACACAACTGCTGTCTGAGATGTCTTTCAAGATAAAATGGGAGGGGGACATGGGTAGGGAGTGAGATGAAAGAAGACTGTCCAAGAGCTGGTAGCCACTGAAGCTGGACGATGCATTCATGAGGGTTCACTTCACAATTCTGTCTACTTTTGTATAGGTTTGAATTCTCCATAATAAAAAGGGAAAGAGAGAGAATGGAGGGAAAGAACTGGAGACAGCAAATGCAGACTGCTCTAAAGTGGAACAGAGAGATGAAGTCGCAGTGGCAGGAGACGCCGGTCTAGGGAGCTGTTTTACTCCAGAGATGGGCAACAGTGCAGAATGTCTACAGGCTGGTGGGGACGAGCCAGTGCGGAGGGGGGGGCAGGGGGCGGGGTGGGGGGCGGGGAGGAGGTGATGGTGCAGGAGGCGAAGCAGAGAGAGGCTGCACAGCTCCTGGAGCAGGTGAAGGGGTGGAGCCCACAGCAAGGCAGAGGACACACGGCTGGACGTGGACGTCTCCATAGGGGGACCCCGTCTTCTCAGTGGGCTAGAGAGCAGCCTGTTGACCGAGAGTGCGAGGTGGATGGGCCAGGGGAACGTGGGAGAGAAAACGGAACAGGAAACGGAGCGTGACTTCTGAACGTGAGATGGGCCCGCTGGTGATGGTCGTGACTCTAGCAACTCTGCTCAGAGTGGTTTCGGGTCTGTCTCCAGCCGCGTGCAGAGGAGCAGGCACAGACGACAGCCAACGACAAACGGTCTTTGAAGGTGTCAAGGCGAAAACCCAGGCAGGAAAAGCTATAGGAATTTGCAGACACCCAGACCCCTCGGGAGGGACTGGGAACAGGGAAGCCAAAAGGTTCACAGACAGAACCCGCGGGCTCTATGGGGAACGGGTGGAGGCCAGCCTCCCTGCAGAAGAACATTCCAGACGAGGTTGTTCAAATGGAGGCCAGCTCTGAGACGACACCGACGATGGGCAACAGGGGCTCAGGGACGTTTGTGAGAAGGCCTGACGAAATGGAATCAAGGTGCTGGTCCTCACCGTCCTCCCTGCCCCGTGGGGACCACCACTTACCTTGGGGACCTCGCCCTTGCTGCCCGGGGGCAGCCGCAGGACCCAGAAGTTCCTGTTCCTCAGTAGGTTCTCCATGTTCTCCAGCCGCCTCTGCAGCAGCCCGTACTCCTGGAGCAGGGTCCCCAGCACGGCCCACTTGCCCTCCATGTGGTTCCCGAACTCCACGGCCGTCTTCTCACAGTCAGCCAGCTTCTTCTCGGCTGTCCCCGTCCGCCCCTCCAGGTTGAGCAGCTGGCTGGCCTGGGCGTCCACCTTCCTCTCCACAGCCTGGATGGCGGCCACCACGGTCCAGAGCGAGATCTCCGCCGTGGGCAGCTGGGGCTCTCGCATCATGCGGTCGGGGAAGACGGGGGCCCGATCTGGGAAGGGCGGGAACTGGAAAGGCATCGGTCGCCGGGCATCCATGTCCCATTCCTGAGCCTGCGGGCAGAAGGGGGGAAGTGATGGCCGGCCTGAGACCCCATGTGAGGAGCGAGGCTGGCCTGAGAACAGGGGAGAACGCGTCAAATGCTGCAGATCCCCGTTCTCCTGCCAAGCCCCTGCCTCTCTGGCTACGGCATTCATTAACATCCACAGTGGGAGCTCAGCAGTCATCCACGCAACCTTCCCATTTCCGGCCTGCAGAAGTTGGGCTGGTTGCTAGTCTACCACCCACCTTGACCTATGGCAGGTCAAGGCGGTGGACTCTGGCCTAAACTGTCACAGGTCACTTCTCTTTGATGAGACCAGCTGCTTTCTTCACTGGCTAGACTTAATGGTGAACTCCACAGAGCTTGCCCAGGGTTTGCTGCTTCAAAGCAAAAATGTTCACATCAGTCACGCGCCCCTAATCGTCCCAGCAATCTCTAAGCAGGTTAGGGCAAGAATGATTATCTTAAAGCTCTGCTTTAAAGATGATGAAATAGAGGCCCAGAGAAGTGGCCAGTCTTTCCAGAGCACTGCTCTGCACCACCTACTGAAGCGGTTCTAGGTGCTGCAGATTGACAAAAACACAGTTCAGATAATGGGGCTGGGGGCACCGGAGACACCAGGAGCCCGAGCAAGAGAACAGGCAAGCAGCCTTGTCTTCTTACACAACTGTGTATTCATATTTTCCAAAGTGGGTGTGCCCGAAAATGTCATTCCCTGAGGAGGGGGGAGGGGGAGCATCTCTAAGAGGAAGAGAAGATCCCCACACCCCTCCTGCTTCCCCAGGGGAGGGGTACCCAATGGCCCTGGCCCTCCAGTACCCCCAGCTCTGGGTCCTCACCCGGAAAGGCGAGGTCCCCAGGATGCAAGTTAAGAGCTGATCCCTATGACCAAGAGAGGGGTGGTCACCGTGTACTGTTGACCCGGGGACTGGTCCCATACCCCACCAGCACCCAGGGCTTGCTGGACAGCAGGGCTGAAATGGTCTCTCCTTGCCATGTAAAAGGGAAGGGTCACTTTCTGTTCTCTCTGTTGCTGCTGAAGGGGCCCTCAGGATGGGCGAAATGGAGACCTGTTACTTAGAGGTGAGCTAGGCAGGTAGAGACAGACACGCTCATGGCCCTCTCGGACTCACAGCAGCTGCGACAGCCATGGAGGAAGATCACACAGGTTCCAGGGAGTCACTCCTGACATGGGAGGAAAAGCAGCAGGGCCTGGGTAAGAGGTCCTAGTATTTCCAGCAATGCCGTGCACTCGGGCCCACAGAGGCGTCCTTCCAGCCTGGCCCACCAAAGGGGTCAAGGGCTGACGGATGGAAGTTCAGAACGTCACTGGGCCCAGTTTACTTTTCACAGGTGTTGGGGGAGAAAAATTTTCCTTCTACCCTTCTAGGTTCTTCCCTGGTCCCACAGTCAAATTGACAGAAGACAGATCAACGTGAGAAAAACAAATTTAGTAACACGTATACCCTCTGTATTGGAGAAGGAAATGGCAACCCACGCCAGTATTCTTGCCTGGAAAATCCCACAGAGGAGCCTGGCAGGCTACAGTCCACTGGGGTCGCAAAGAGTCAGACACGACTGAGCGACTAAACAAATAAACATACCTCCTGTAAACATGGGCAAGACCCAGAAAACTGAGTGATCTGCCAAAATGACCCAAACCACTATATGAAGTAACATCTTCAGCTAAAGACAAAGGGTGATGTTGGGGGGTTGGGGGAGTTAGTTACAGGGGTGACCAGGGAAAGGACAGGATGCAAGGGCACAGGTTAATGCAGATGTAAGTCACTGCCTTCTCCACTGATAAAGAGTTTTTAGCGATTGAGTCATGCCCTCTTCCTGGTACAGCAATGGAGGTTTCTCTTCTACAAAGGGAACTCCTACTTGGTTTTCAGAGCGTCTCCTGTGCCTGCAGCTCCTCTAAAATAACCATCTTAAAATAATCCTGGTGCCAAGGAGGCAGATTTTGGGGCGGCAGATTCTGCTCCCCTAAACAGGTTTGGAGATGTAAAGCTGAAACATGGTCAGACAGGACACAGAAACTCCTGGCGGATGTGTCAGAACCTGGCTGGCTGAGAACCAGGCCAGGGACAGAGCGGGGCTTGGCGGGGTCCAGCCGAGGTCAGCTCCCACCCTCTGCCCCCGGCAAAGCCATCGAGGCCTGTCTCTGCCTCACACACAGCCCTGGCGCTCTGGCTCCCGAATCCGTCTGCACCCTGAGCTCCTCTTTACGGACTGGTGCTTACTCTCAACCCCAGAGACTGCGATTTCACCGGTGTGGAGGAGGCTTGGGCGTCAGGAGTCTTGAAAGGTGCTCAGGTGCTTCTAACAGTGCGGCCAAGTTTGCCCACCGCTGGCAAGAGCACCTCTCACCCGCCCCTTCCTCGGTCACAGCCGGTGCCAGGGGGAAACCGCGAATCGCTGTTACACTTGGGGAGAGATGATGGCCGTACAACATTTAAACACACCTTTCTGTCTGAGTTGGCCGCAGCGGTAAAATCTGACCAGGGACTCCGCGCGCCCACATCCCCGGCCCGGCGCGAGGCGGCCAGCCAGCCCCTCGGCGAGCCCGGGCCGGGGTGGGGGACACGGTCACGGCGGGGACCCCGCGTTCCGGGCCCTCACCCCGCAAATCCCCGGCCCCGCGGGGGCCTCCCCAGGGCGCCGGCTCCGGGCCCGGCCGGCACGCGGCCTCGGGGGCCCGCCGCTCCGGGGCGCGGGCGGGGGCCTGCGAGGGCTCCGGGCCCGGCCTGCCGCGCGAGCCCCCGACGCCCCGGGCCCCGCCGGCCCCCGTGCCCCCCACCCGACCCCCGCCCGCGGCCCGGGGCCCCCAGCCGCCCCGGCCCCGCGCCCCGCCCCCACGGCAGGCGGGCGGCCATGGCGCCGGCGGGGGTGCACCCACCTGCATGGGCGGCATTCCCTCGGCCATTTCCCCGCGCAGCGCCGGCTCCTGGTGGCAGACCTCCTCCGGGGGCAGGGCCTGCGCCCAGCTCCAGCTCCCGCTGTCCAGCCCCAGGCCCTGGATGCCCAGCTGCTGAGGCTGCGGCCGTGTTGACACAAACTGCATCCTGGGAGCGCTGTTCCCCCGCTCGGGCCGGCCAGGGAGAAGAAGAACGTTTTCCAGGCGCCTTCCCCCTCGCCGGGGCCGGACAGCTCCATCTACAGCCCGTAGGAGCAAACAGTCCCCTTCGGCGGCGCTCCCCGCCCCACCGCCGCCCGCGCCGCCAGCCAATGGCCTCCGAGCTCCTGCCCGCCCGCGGGGACCGACGGGGGCCGCTCCGGGGCCCGGAGCCCCCGCCGCCCCGAGATGGCCCTGCCGCTGGTGGGCCCCTCGGTGCGGGTGGCCTTCCCCCAATTCCCCAACCGCGCAGGGTCCTCAGCCTGGGGCAGGATTTCTGTCCGTTTGGCTAATATCTATTGGGCATCCCAAAGGACCTGACCCTTCTGAAAAATGTTGCAGTTGTCTTCATCCACCTTTGTTCTGGCCTTGCCTCTTGCCTCACTCCTTTTCAGGCTTCACCTCCCCACTGTCCCTCTTCTCGAGCCAGATTTACCTGCATCAACTCCGGGCCTTTGCCTGGATGACAGAGAAGTGTCCTGGGTTGGGTTAGAAGAGGGCCAGACCCTTCCAGCCAGGAAAGGAGCCCTGGGTTTTAACAGCAGCCTCATCCGGCACCTTTAAATGCAGGTCAACTGCAGTTTGGAACACCAGGCCAAGTCAGAGGAGGGTGGGGAAAGAGGACAAGATCGGCTGATGGAGAAGGCGTGGGAAGGGGAAACGCATTCACTCATTCCACAACTATTTACTGAGCACCTACTACGTGTCGGGGCTTCCCTGGTGGCTCAGACGATAAAGAATCTGCCTGCAACACAGGAGACCTGGGTTCGATCCCTGGGTCGGGAAGATCCCCTGGAGAAGGGAACAGTTATCCACTCCAGTGTTGTTGGTTGGAGGAGTCCATGGACAGAGGAGCCTGGTGGGCTACATCCATGAGGTCGCAGAGTCAGACATGACAGAAGAGACTTAGCATTCACATATACCTGAGTTTAAATTCCAAAATCACCACTCACTAGCTGTAACTGAGCAATTTCACCTCTCTGACCTTCACTTGGTCTCCTCGTTTATAAATGAAGAAACTAATGAGACATTCCACAGTTATAAAATCAAATGAGATGACAGCAGTGCTTTTAGGCACTCAACAAAGGTATTTACTTCTAAAAGGTAACTCCTTGTAATTATCCTCAAAATAGTGTCTACACTGTTTTCCTAAATGACTGGTCTCTGTCTTATTAAGACAGAGATCTCCAAGGCTTACTGTTGCCCTGTGTAGAGGCAGACCTGCCAGAGAACCACCACAAACTGGTACTCTTTTGTTCCATTGCACTTAGTAAAGTAAAGGGCATTATTGGCCCAAGGGAGGCATGTGCTTAGAGCACCATATTAAGGACAGTTATCAAGTACATTCTCTGTTGCGCATGCTTCCAGGATACAGACTGAGCATTTCACAGACTTACTACTATCTCAAGGAGCTTACAGGTTAGCAAAGGTTATATTCCCAGAAGTCAGTGATTTCCTTCCCTCTGTTCCCTGGCCATGGGCTGCCCCCTGATTGGAAATATCATGTCACTATTTTTAGGGGAACCAGACAAGTAGAGTCTAAAGAGCTCCAAGTGAATTCATTTTCACTGGTGAGACACATTTCAGAGCATATATTCTGATCTAATACATCAGCAGCAGCTTCCCTCGTTCCTAGACGTGGAAGAGAGGCTAGGTTAGTCCCAAGGGTTTAAGCTGTCTTTCCAGTATTAAGTAGGTAAAATTACTTCCCTTCCTAAGCATTAAACTAATTATAATAACTGCTTCTCTTTTTACACAATAAGGTACCATATAGTACATCCACTTTACGTTTCTCCTTCACGGAGGGTGAATTTTGCACATTGCAGCCATCACCCTTTCACCCCTGGCAACCAGAGTTCAGTTCACTGTCATGAGATATGAGCAAAGCTACTCAACTCAAACAGAATTTAAATGCACGTGCTTTTTATAGCTGCCAACCCTAGCAACCACAGATCACAAAAGCCAGTAGTGAATACAGCATATGGGTGGTGAATGGTGGGGTGGGGTGGGGGGGGATGGAGAGAAAACAAGAAGGGCAGGAGGAGGGGACTGCTATAGAAACTCAGGTCATGAGCTCATGGATTCCAGTGACCAAAAGGCTGGAGGGGCTGAGATCCCACCCAGCGTGGGTGGGAGAGAGCCTCACTGGGAGAAGTGTCCAGTCCTCAGACTTGTCTCTGTGACTCACTGAGTAACTACTAGGCAGTTATCTAACTTACTGAGGAGCAGAATGAGCAACTGGATAGAGTGGATTATAGATGTCAAGCATCACTGTTAATAAACATTTGTAGGGGGAGGACCGGGGCTAGGACTTCAGTCTCTCAATGGGCTGCTTCTCATCTCCTCACCCAAGAATTAGATAGCTGCTGCTCTGGATGGGGTATTGGAAGTGATAATGTGCTGAGCTAAAGGATATCAGAGAGGACAAAGGAGAGGGAATTAAAAAATGCCAGAATATCTGTGTGTCGTATAGGCTGATTTTATGCATCAGCTTGACTGAACCAAGGGATGACCAGGTAGCTGGTAAAATGTTATTTCTGGGTGGGTCAGACCCACCCAACTTCTTTGATCAATCCAAGACTGATCAAAGAAGTTGTCCTCACCAATGTGAGTGGACACCATCCAATCCGTTGAGGGCCTGAAGAGAACAAAAGGGAAAAAGGAGGGCAAATTTGCACTAGGACAGCCACCTTCTTCTGCCCCTGAAAACTGGTGCTCCTGGTTCTTGGGACTTTGAACTCAGAATGAATGGACACCACCACTTTCCTGGTTTCCCAGTTTGCAGATGGCAGATGATGGGACATCTTAGCCTCCATAATTGTGTAAGTTAATTCCTATGATAAATCTCCTCTTAAATATCTCTCTGTATCCTGTGAGTTCTGTCTCTCTAGAGAACCCTAATACATGTGTCTACCACTCCAACTCTTGGTGCTTCCTGTATACTCCATGTCCTTTCAACAACCACAAGCTTTGAGGAAGAAAACCTCCAGCTTCCCTCTTAGCTAAGTGAAGAGGGTAGCCAGATTTTCCCTTTTATCTCAGTGTCACTCCTTGCTTAATTTAACAACCTGGGTTAAGGACTACAGCGTGATCCTCAAGTTCCCCTCTCCCACTGATATTTCCATGGTTACAGCTTCCTGTCTGCACTTTTAGACACTTTAGGCCAACCTCCAAGGAAGGGTAACACCTTAGATTTCAAAGCCATTGACATCCTAAGTATAACTAAAAATCAGAGGCAAGACTTTATGAAGGGGAGGGTTGTTGGGGGTAAGATGATAAAGTTCTAGACTACTTAGAAGAGGCAGAAAGTGTTAATGTGGATCCCAGTCAAATATTTTGTATTTTATAGTTTTAAGGTCCATTAGCTCTTGCTAATGAGTTTTCAGTGTCCTTGCCTTTTTCAGATCCACCTTATGCCAACATTTAAATTCAAACTTTAGATGCCCAAACACACACACACACACACACACACACACACACACACACACACGTCTTTCTCTCCCTCTTTCTCAGTAACCTTCTGTCTTATACCTATGCCAAGTTTGGAGAAAATATGACTTTTTCCCTCCTGAGTTCATTTACAGCCTACTGGAAATAGGCATTCCATCACTTTCTTTGTCAGCCTTGATACAGGAGATGAGTGGAGTTCCCTGGCTTCTCTTCAGTTCATACTGACTCTGTGGTACTGTCCTCAATATGTGACCGCTTGGTGACTGAGTCAGCTACTCAGCAGTCCTAATACACAGGCACCAGGGCGTAGAAACCCTTTATGCAGAAGACGTGCTTCAGGCTGGCAATGACTGCACTATGTTCTCTTGAGTCTTCCCAGCGGGCAACCCTTCAACATGTAAGTGTGGACTGATTATTTACAATGGCCAGAATTCACTTAAAATGAAGTCTAGTGTTCATCCAGAATAATACCGGTCTTTCTAAATGGACTTCCCTGGTGGCTCAGATGGTAAAGAATCTGCCTGCAATGTAGGAGACCCAGGTTTGATCCTTGGGTCGGGAAGACCCCCTGGAGAAGGGAATGGCAATCCACTCCAGTATTCTTGCCTGGAGAATTCCATAGACAGAAGAGCCTGGCAGGCTACAGTCCATGGGCTCACAAAGAGTTGGACATGGCTGAGCAACTAATACTTTCTAAATGCAACAAGTAAGGTATTAAAACGTGTATTATTGTTAAGTCTGAGCTGGTAATATCACCCGCAGTCCCTTTCGGTTCTTTAGCAAAGTGCTCTCACACAGAGGGGCTGGCCTCACCTTGATGGAGGTGAGGGAGGACCAGGGGGCAGATGCTGGCACCATCCCTATCTGTTCCTGTCCAGCCTCCTGTCCGAGTTTTTGATACTGGGTCTTTGGACAGAGCCTGCAGTGAGCACAGCTGAAGTGAATGCTGCCTCTGGAGGGCCTCACTTGACTATTGAGAGCCGTCAGCACTTTTCCAACAACCTTTCCCATAGCCTTGTTTCCTTCTGAGTGCTGCCTCTAGAATCAAATCATGACTTTCTATTGTGGATTCAAAGATTCTTTATTCATCTTCAGTCCACAGCTTCCTGTTTTAGGAAAGCAGGCTAACTGGTCATTTCCAGTCCCGTAATTCGCTTCTCCTTTCTATGATCTTCTAAACTTGCAGGCACAGTAGAATTACTTAACCTGCAGGCATGCTCAGTTGCTCAGTTGTGTCTGACTCTGCGACCCTATGGACTTAGTCCATGCACCAGGCTCCTCCATTCACGGGATTTCCCAGACAACAATACTGAAGTGGGTTGCCATTTCCTCCTCCAGGGGATCTTTCTGACCTAGGGATTGAACCGTGCCTCCTGAGTCTCCTGCATTGACAGACAGATTCTTTGCCACTGAGCCATCAGGGAAGATGTAGAATCACTTGCGAGAACTTTAAAAACAAAACATCTAGGCTTCCCCACCCCCTGCAATCCCAGATTAAT